CTAGAGACGAATATCCAACTAATTGTCGAAGCAAGGATATTTGACAACCGCCCCACGTGGTCAGATGTGGTACAAGGCGGAATTTAACGTGGGGTAACCGAATACGTGGGGTATTTTTGCTGTTGATGTAATGGAATGTCCCACACTCCCTATCGCCTATGTGGACTGACTATATCAGTAGCTATATATAGTGAGTACAGGATATACGTGGGGGTTTGCTTCAGTAGTGTATCCTCTTTATAATAAACATCTCGTCTTTCATCTACGCGCGTGTTGCTATTCCTTCACTTGAGTACCACGTTTGTTTGTTTGTAACCTCTTTACGAATACAACGGCTGTATACATCAATAACATGAATGAGAACTTGAAAGGGTTAAAGGGAAGAATTGTTATTTATCCTGGTGCCTTTGTAACACAAGGCTTGTCTCTATATATCCATAATCGCTTCAAAGTAATATTAAACCTGACCTGTTTACTTATTTGTTCTTTTGGGCGGAGACAAGGCTACTGCAGAACTTGGGATATGTTTTTCTTAAAGTGCATATTAAAAATGAATAATCGATCAATACCAATGAGCCTTTCAAATCTTCTGCTGAAGTAACACTTCGCTTGGGGTTTTCTGACCATTCACATAACTGTTTTAAGATTTATATCCCCAAAAATGCTTCCCAATTTCTTAGGAAAATTCTTTGATATTCCAAATCTGACTGAGATAGCTGCAGAGAATTCATTACTTTCTTTCAGCAGTGTATCCTCTTTTACAATAAAGTTCTTCAAAAATAGCGCTGCCGGAACATTCTAAATTTATTCGTTCCGGCATGTAAATATTTATCCTTTATAAGACGTATCAGCAAATGCTGAATAGCAAGACTTGTTTCGGCCTGAATATGCTGTTGCCATATCTGACCGGATTTAGTAAAACCATCTCTGTTACCCTGCAAGAATTATTCCATATTCACAACTGGCCACAGCCACTGCATAACGTTCTGAACAATGCCAAGAACAGCTATGCAGTGTCGGTCCTAGCCAAAATGGAAAACAAAAAGACTTAGTTCTGAGAGATTTCTCAAAGATCAGGAAAAAGCATTCTTAAAAGATGCAAACTGTAGGTGCTTATTATGTACGATCCTGGGAATATATATTTTTCGTAAGATAAGACAAAGCTCTTGGCAATGGACTAGAAATACACGTTATCCGACAAGGACCATCTCCTATATGAATTCTCAACTCTCAGAAAGAACAAGGCTTGGGATTTCACTATTTAGGCACAGAAGTTTTCCAAAACCCTTGAGCCTACGAAGGGCACTGGTCCGGATAAAATCCTTGTGTTTCTTATTAATAACCTTAGCCTAGAAATCAATTTTAGCAAAAGCAGGAATGTTGTCCAAGTCTGTGGAATGTATCAACTGTTTGCCTCGTTTTCCAGAATGAGAGTAAGCAATCATCACAATATCAATAACGCCCAAATTAGCCTTCGTTGAACTCTTTATTATCTACTATCTATATTTCTCATGTTGTCTGTCTGTGTGTCTGTCGTGGGCGTTGTTACCTCGCCCAGGCCGCATTTCTCACCCGATTTCGATGCGGTTTTCAACACAAGTTTTCAAATGGCTGCCGTAAGGACATGACGGAGCCCGATTTTTGAGTTCGGTGTCAGGTTCCGAAAAAATCGATAATCAAAAAAATCGATAATCGAAAAAATTCTGCTTACAGAAGGAATGATCGCATTTCAACCAAATTTGACACCCTCTTAGAATCTACCATTAGATGTGTTGTCCAGAAGTTTCATGACCACGGACCCCTAAACAGCGCTGAAAATCGATAAAACCCCAAAATCGATACGCCCAGATTGCGTTAGAACCGCATGTCGGTTTTTAGCGAAAACCGAACGGATTTATGAAGAGGCCATTGGGATTGATCATGTGAAGTTTCAACTCTGAGCACCCCCGCCAAACAGAATGCAAATCGACAATCGGTCAACCCATAAAAATGTTTTTTTTCCGGTTTTTTAAAGCTGATCGTATTGTGTTTATTTTGTTTAGTTCTTTTTTCGTAACAGATTTAATGTTTACTATAGAGCTTAGAAAAAGTTGGCAGTGTGATATAGGCAAGAAGTAACAACATCAGCACGGCAAAGGGCACTCCTCTAAAGGCAAGGACGGGCAAAAATATTTTAAGTCAAGTGATAGCGATTGCTGTATTAGTCGTACTATTTTTGAATCAAGCACGGGCAACGCCGGGCCATGCTGCTAGTAAGAAAATATTTTTTATCACCTTAACGGCATAATTTTCTTTCCTCTATATCCATTGTCACACAGGAGTAGGAAAGTCTTTGGAATGTATCAGTTGTTTGCCGTTTTCCAGAATAAGATTAAGCACTCATCCCAATTTCAATATCACCCACATTAGCCATCGTCGAACTATTTGTTTATTAAATGAAAATATTTTTGATCACCTTAACGGCATAATTTTATTTACTCTAGGTCCACCGTCATACAGA